CCTTTGTAAGCTTGTCAGAATACAGTATCGCAGTTGGTTTCTGAAAGCGCTTTTGGCGTATTTATAAACAATAAACAAATAAAAACGAATTATAGTCTTGCTTGTTGCGTAAGTTGTCCACCTCTTCATACCAAACTCCCGTTTGCGATTTGCTGTTGAACCTATTTATGTTAGTGGAACACTAGATAGAAAAATCTGATAAATGCCTGTAAGAGTATTTGATCTTGAGATACCAATATTCACCTTTTGATTTAAATTTAATTGATTAATTGAACAAAACATTCTCACTAATAAGATAAAAACTGCGAAATTAATTAAAATAAAGCACGAACTATCTATTATCAAACGGCCGGATCTACAGCATTCTCTGTTGCATCTTTAGTTGCTGCTGGCGATAAAAGTTGTAAAGTTCACGTGACCGCCGCCTGGCCAGGACCTGGACTCGATACTGGTTGAGTATGAGCTTAGACGCCCGACAGCCGAAGTAGCACAGGAAGGTCAACATCAGGGCCAAAAGAAAAGCGCCTACTTTCAGTCCACAGATTTTATCGTAACTCAGGCTCACCTGGTCGATGCTTTTTTTGATATTGTAAAGCATAATGGCATAGGTAATTGAAAATACATGTAGGAAGATATAGATCTTACGATAGAATCTACGAAAACGTTCCCACGACTTGAGCAGGAAATCGGGCATGGCGACAATAGCTGCAAGCACGTAAGTGATGAGTCCGGCCAGGATCTGCTTCCATTCATCGTAAGTCACATCCATTATGATCGAATATAATTTAAAATGTCAGTATGACAGAAGCACCCTCCTTTGCGAGCTTTTATCACCTGGCCAACTTAGAGAACTAACTTGAATTAGCTTTCCAAATAATCATTTTCCAACTCAAAAGAAAATGTATTATACATTCTACCTATTAGATCATCAGTCAGTAGGGGCTAGACGTAAGGGGGGGCCAACGATAGTGGGAGCGTGCTGTCTAATCTAGCAACTAAATTAAATTATATCAATCCAAAAGGGAACGGTATTATGCCCTACCTGGATACCTGCCCACCTCCAGTTTATAAGAGAGCCCTCCCGCAAAACTCGGTCTATATCGGGGATGTACGGAATCAAAATGAATCTAGCTATAAATAAGAAAAACATTATGGCCGGTCCAAAAAATGGAAGGGACAGTAAATATATGAATCGTTAAGAACAAAGATCTTAGTTTGGCGCTGATGGAATCGGGCAAGCCAACGGGTCTCCGACCAATTACGGAAGGTGTAGACAATGGAAAGCTGAAAAACCAATAGGTCTTAACGACTGGGGTTGGCCAGTCCACCTCAATGCGATAGGCGATAGCTAATAAAGACACCCAGGCAAATAAAGAACTATCATGTCAAGACCAGTCAGGTCCAGAAGAGCTTGTCCGGGCCAGGGGAGTATAGTTTCGGTCAAGCAGGAGGACTCGCAGCGGATCCTTAAGATCTTTCGAGTGTGCAACGCACTCTTGAGTACGAAGAAGACAGTGTCACTGTCGCCCTACCCCGGATCCCGAGCCCTATCGATCAGTTGTTGATATGCCTTCAAGGCTTCACTTCACACTCCGAGGTGTACTCTCACCTCTCCTTTGGAACGAAGCAGTCGACGGATTACACGCTCAATGGAAGGCATAGGCTGAATGGTAAGTATATGCCGATGACAGTGCTGTCTCAATCATTGGTAAATACAGGACCCTGTGCGAACACATGAGGATGGGCCTAACAGACTGGAAACTTGAGAAGCAGATGGTGGTCTGGCTGCAGGGCCCCGGTCTGGTTATTTATTTTAACTTAGAAATACCCCAAGCTCACCAACTATCTGCGAAATAGCCCTCTCCTTCAGTGAGTCAGTCAGAGCGAAAATATCAATATTTTTGTAATTGAAGCAAGTAGAACTAGTGATAAAAGTGCAGTAATACTTGGCTCAAGTACGAAAAAACATGATTCAAGCTATGTTTAATACGCTTACAGACTAATTGAACTGATTAAAAAACGGAATGGCATCGATCCAAGTTTTGATGATTCTTAAATTAAATGCAGAAAAAAAGTTAATTTAAGACCAATTTTAAATTAACTTTTTAATAAGATTCATTTGGTGTTAACTTTTTAAAATCTTATCGCAGTTTGAACTTGAAATAAGTTTATAAAAATCTTTGTTAAGGCCTAGAAAAGCCTTGATATCTAATTAATTTACGTTAGAGTCAAGAACTCGCATCCTAAAAACAGTAAAAAATCAACTAAACTCCAGCTATATATAAAAGAGTTTGTCCTGACTGATTGAACGCTGACCAACGTAGAGCCCAAACCTACGAAGCTGAATAATTATATATATATAAAATATATAAATATAATAACAACACAGCTATATAATTGTGTTTTGCAAATGTGACGTCATGAGCCTATGTGGCTTAGGTGCCTCAGTGTCGGACTTAGAAGCGAGAGGTCGCCGGTTCAACTCCAGCAGCGATTTCCATTTCTTAAATATGTTACCTCAATTGCTTATTATAAACAAAAACAGTAGTAAAAATAAATTCCCAAGTTAGAGTGCTCGACCGTGAGATACCCAACGTAAGCCAGGAGCAGCAGCTTGCGCTATACGTGTTCGCTCGCTAAAAATGTATTGCCAGAAATACATTTTTACCCATTTAATAGGTAAAGCGATAAAAAGAACAAGCATTATTAAAAACAAGTAAGAGGGTCTAGTCGGGAGCTCCCGACTAGGGGATACCCTGAACCCTCTTCTTCCAACAGGCGACTGGTATAAAATGAAAGATACTTGATATATATATACATATACTATTCTAGAAGCTACATGTCAAGTTTGGCGACTCTAGCCTTTATTATTTACGAAAATTGCTCAAAAAACAGGATTTCGATTTTTATCGATTATATCCGAAACAAACTCGATCTGCGCGGGGACTAGGATGACCTACAGTTAAAATTTCAAGTCTCTAGCTCTTATAGGTTCTGAGCTCCTTGCGTTCATACATACGGACGGACGGACAGACAGACGGACATGGCTAGATCGACTCGGGTATTGATGCTGATCAAGAATATATATACTTTATGGGGTCGGAGATGCTTCCTTTTGCCTGTTACATACATTTGCACAAATACTTTATACCCTTTTTACCCATTTTTAATGGGTGCAGGGTATAAGAAAACAAAATAAATTAAACAAGTAAGAGGTTCTAGTCGGGAGCTCCCGACTGGGGGATACCCTGAACCCTCATCTCCCAACAGGCGATAGGTATAAAATGAAAAATACTTGATATATATATACTATTTTAGAAGCTACATGTCAAGTTTGGTGACTCTAGCTCATATTATTTGCCGAAATTGCTCAAAAATCAGGATTTCGATATCGATTTTGATCGATTACTTGGAAACGGGGCAAGTTATCGAATATCGGAAACAAACTCGATCTGCACGGGGACTAGGAGGACCTACAGCTAAAATTTCAGATAGCTCTTATAGGTTCTGAGATCCTTGCTTTCATACATACGGACAGACGGACGGGCAGGCAGACGGAAATGGCTAGATCGACTCGGCTATTGATGCTGATCAAGAATATATATACATAATACCCCTTTTACCCATTTTCAATGGGTTCAGGGTATACAAATATTTCTAGATTATGTGTTAGAACCCTCGCCCTTATCAACCGAAAGCACATAGCCGCATACCAACAACTCCTTACTAACATTTAATATTTAACAGAAAATGTAAATCAAATCTGTAAAACTGTCCGGGCAGTAGGCGGCCCTACGTTCCACATTTATAGCATGGGTCTATAGTCTCTAGCGACTCAACTATTGAGGCTGGTTTGCTGTTGTTACACTTTAACATTAACATTTTTCAAGTGCAATGGGTACATTTCCTACGTCCAAGACAAATTTTTTTTGCAGCTCACTTTCACAATCTAAAATTTGACTTGCCTTGGAGTTACCACCAAGATATAGATAAAGACAAAGCTATGATGATAGATAGATATAGCTATGCGTCGGTACTGGATGTCTGCAATCACCGCCGGCGATTTGGATTTCAAATTGGAAATGGTGTTGCATCTCCATCAATGGATGACGTCCGTCCATCACAATGAGGAAGTTGGATTTAAAAACAACGCGTCCATCCATCTGCTCCGGCTGCCAAATAGTGTGTTAAGTCAGATAACTGGAGTATAAGGGATGGTTGCTAGCTCCGCCCATTTTTGTCGGCGCCTGCGTCTGGCCATTGCCTCATTGGACTATAGTCTTCTCGCTTACGTCCGGGGTTGCAAGTGCACTGCTGCCGAGGGCAAGGGTGAGGGCCTGCAGGGGCCGAAGGGGGTCGGGTGGCTGGCAGTTGAACGCCACGGCGTGAAAATATTCGCGCAAGCAAATAGCTGCATGCAATTGAAAAAGGTTGAAGCGTTGAAATTTTCACGCTCGACGCTAAAAAGTTTTTTAGCACCTTAATCCTTGAGTTAAGCAAAGCGGAGCCGTGGCAAATATTTCGATAAGATCCGCAATTAACAATTTAGGGTATACATGAAATAATTGCCACCGAACAAGTTAGAACATATACTGGCGCGGTAAAGAGGGGTTTTTTCTCTCCCCAGACTACGGATGCTGTACTGAGATGAAATATATTGTATATAGTTCAAATAGGTCCGAAATGTTTCATTTCTGGCATAACAAATAAAAATCATTTTTATTCCAATTGCTTCGCTCTAACCCTCGACTTCAAGGATATTCAAGGGTAATCCCGTATCAAGACTTTTGAATTCTTTACTAATATTGTTGATGGGTGACAGAGAGAGTCGAGAAATCAAAGGCATTTTGAAAGTTCATCAATTAATCAGCCCCTTGTCACACAAGCTTATTCAGAGAAGTGTGCATATCGTCGAAGAATTGTATTCTGCATAGTAAATTCACCTTCTAATATAAATACACCGAATCCAGTTGGCTGGATTATAGTATCAGAGTTTCGGCTGGCTGAGTAGACAGAAAGTAGTATAGTTATATGTTAATATTCTTTTTAAAAATTTTCCTAATTTTCGTGGCGCGTATACCGAAATTCCCTGGCTTAAAATTACAGAGTCAATCAGTGACGAGTTTATTTTTCCAAAGCTTAGCATATAATTCCCATTTCTGAAATGAGCCACACGAATCTACATTCGTACCCGGTGGATGGCTACCAGCGCGTCAGCTACTGCCGGACAGCTTCCATGAGACGGATTAGGGACGACGGCGATAACGCCGCTGGGGACGGCGTTGTCATTTCCAAGGATCTGATCCTTGGGTGCAAGCCAGAGAAGGCCGACGACTTTAGACCGTTTGTCTTTGAACCGACGTGGTGCGTGTACATCAAGGCGCAGGACGATATAGACATGGGCCGTTACGTGAAGCGGGTGACATTCCGCATGTCGCCGCGTCTGCCGCTGCGTCTGCATGTGGCTGATGCGTCGCCTTTCGAAATCACCGAAGTACTAAGCACCGACTTTCCGCTGGAGCTGCAGGTGGACTACTTGGACCCCACCATGTCGCCCACTACTTATATGTACAAGCCGAACGATGTCTTTGACGGCAAATACAATGTTGATCTGCGAATGAATTTCCAGGGTCACGAGCGGAGGGACAAAATGTTCTTTATGAATCCATCGCCTGCTATGCAGCTGACCCTAACAACACCTGCGCCGCCATTAGTGACCCCAACTCTGCCTACAAAGTTGAAATTGCGCCTGGCTCCGCCACGAGATGCGGAGCGGGTTGTAAAGAAGCCAAAATCTGCCAAGTCTTCCACTCCCAACTCGGAAGAGTCGGTACCGCCTAATGCGGAGCAGAATTTGATACAATTTACAACGCCGACGGCTCCCAGGCCCATATTCAATGTGCGCCTGCCTGCGTTCATAGAAATGAGCCCAGGCAAGCCTTAGTCTTCGTGTTAGCTCGCACCCCCCACTCGCAAAGCGTTGCCCAGTTGCATGTGTGTTTGTCTTTGCCGAGGGTTGCAGCTGTTCTCTAGCGCCGCCCATTAATGCTCTTGGGGTGGGTTGTGGCTTTGCCGACAATTTCTGCTGTTGCGGCGCAGCGCTGCTCATCATTTCGACGTGGCATTTTGCCGAGTTCAGACGTGCTCAAGCATGGCGTGGCTTCCAAGCAGTTCGAATGGCGCGGATAATGCGGACGAACGCAGTACAAACAGCCACTCAAGCTCCTCATCCTCGGCTAACGGCACAGCAGGCGGTGGTGCTTGTGTTGGAGGTGGAAGGCGCGAGGAGAGCAACATCAATGGCCCGACGCGACAACCGCCAGCGCTGTTACGTCATGCCACACCCTATGTTCAGCCCAAGACAGAGTCCATCTCGGATGGAGACGGTGATCTATCGGATTTCTCACTGAACGACACCGAGGAGGAAGACGACGATCTGCGTGACTACATTGTCCTTAACGGCAGCCAAACGGACGGTAAGCAGCATGGCGAGATGCGTATCGATTTCCATCAATATCTTCTTCACCCGTCTACTCTTCAGCAAATCGCTCCTTGTCCAACTCGCCGCGCAGTGCCAATGGCCACAATCTCTTTGGCAATGGAAATCTGGCGCCGCCAGCCAACGGCGGCAGCAGCCAAACTGGTGGACCAGCTGGAGCTGGTGGTGCTGGATTGGGACTGGCCAATGCAGTAGCTGGCAATGCTGGTACTGGTGGCGTGCGGAAGGTGTTTACCAACACGCGCGAGCGCTGGCGCCAGCAGAACGTGTCGGGCGCTTTTGCGGAGCTACGCAAGCTGGTGCCCACACATCCGCCGGACAAGAAGCTGTCGAAGAACGAGATTCTGCGCTCGGCCATCAAGTACATCAAGCTGCTGACGGGCATACTGGAATGGCAGCAACTACAGACGCCCCATTCCGACGAGCCCAACAACAACGACAATCGGATGACCAATGGCCATGCGGCCGACGCACTGCGTCATATCAAATGTGAGCGCTTCGACAGGGATACCACCCAGCGGGCTAGCACCAATGATTTGCTTATGATTGCCCCAGGCGCCCATATCAAAACGGAGCACACCCAGTTGGCCAACTACGAAGAGCCGCCTAGAATCTGCACGGCAACTGGTACGCCTGCACCGCCAGCACCGCCAACGCTTACACTCCACGTACCTCGACCCGTGCCCCCAGTCTCGCGCTCACCCGTGAATGTACCCTTGCCCGGAATCGCTTGTGTCCCCGTCGCGGCATCTCTTAAGCCAGCCACAGCCAGTAGACCAGGCAGCAAGAGGCGCCTCAAGTCAACAACAGAGTCCGCAACCAGCGAACCGAACCTCAGTCACAACCCAAACCACAGCCAAAGTAAGCGGCGCAAACCATGAATTGGGCATAGGAAGTCGAAACATGTGTAAATTAGTTAAATATATATTTAAATTCTAAATTAACAATTAACCAATTGAGTACGTCATGTGCTTCTACGGTATTTTCTACAACCTTAAATCCTTAGCCGAAGAATTAAGGATACAATCAGTCTGCCTGCCAATCAGTCTGGCTAGTTTTCCACTTGGTGACAAGTTTGGTTTACTACACGAGCTAATGTTAATCCTCCACACCTAGCATCAACCAAGGTTGCAAACTTGTTCAAAACCGACCGCTGGAACAATTGCCAGGATAAGGCTGTTCCACCGGTTGCCGAAGTACTGGAGCCGTCCAAGAACTTCTTTGTGGGCACTGCAGCGTATGTGGGACATCTCCAGATCATCTATAATATTGTAGAAGTTTGCTGTTTTGTGAGTCTTCCAACAAATGGTTGAAGAATGTTTTAGGTTGGGATTTTGAATAGCTTCGTCTTTGTGATGATGAGTTACCATATCATATAGATTCCAAGGTCAGCAATCAAGATATTTCATCATGCACCGCCGTTGATCTACAATCTGCATAATTTATTTCGTTAATTAAATGAAAACCAAAAAATATTCTATTCGTTCTCCTAGGAATATTCATTCTCCTGGGAATTCTCCAGTGCCTCGTGCCTCTGCAGTTCCTGCAATTGCTGGTACACATCATAGAGAACTCGAGCGCGCTGCCTTGCCAGTTCTAGGGCTCGATGCTGAGCAAGAATCAGCTTAAAGGACATGCAGGCATAGTAGCACCCGAGGGTAATCATCAGTGCCATTAGGAAAGCACATGCGTATAGCTCACAGATTCTCTCATAGGTCAATTGCAGCTTGTAGATGGTTTGTCGGAACTTGTATAGCAACAAGCTGTAAATAATTGAAAATATTGACACATAGACGTAAACCTTGTGATACCATCTGGTAAAGCGCATCCATATCGCGCGAAGCATAGCAGCTAAGGCGATGGCATATACGACTATGTCTACGTAGAGTCTGGCTAGCATCGGCATCCATTCCTCGTAGAGCAAGTCCATCACGAGAAGTAATTTTCGAAATTTGAACTACTCTCTAGTGGGCGGCTTTTGCCGCCTGGCCAACTTAGCAAACTAGATCGAATCAGATGCTGCTTCATCAAAGTTCGCAACTCAAGCTCAAACCTCTTATACACTTTTAATTTATTTTACACTTTTAATTATTGATTATACTTTGCTCAACTAGCTCCCTTCAAAAAAAGAGAGATTTTTGAATAGAAAACAAGCCGCATGCTAAATCTCCAGCAGATATTTACATCTTCAGCCGTCTCAAGCTGTTCACTACACAATGTCAACGAACGGCTAGGCACACTCCCTGAGTACAAGAACAGCCCCAGCGACAGTCCTTGCCATGCACATGGCGCAAACATGTGACCACAGATAACAAACGTCGCGGACCCTAATCCCGTGCACTTGCACGTGCTCCATCCTCCAGTGGGTGCTTTCAAGGAGCATTACACAAGGAAACAAGAGCAGACACGGGTACGATTCGCAGAAGTGACTAAATATACAACGACACATTATACTATATATGTATATTGTATAAGTCCAGTACGGAAAGCAGCACCATGGGGGCATGACGCCAAGAGCGGCAGCACAGACGGATGACGCAGCATCGTGAGCAAATAATGACACTGCCAGAAGCGTTATGTTCGGTCTATTAAACGGGGCAGTAGTCGGAGCACAAGTCTTTTGGCGGAACGAGGCGACGCTGCACGTGAGCATTGGTCAGGTGGCAGGGGGGAGAAGGAACGCAGCTGCAGCGTAAAATGCACAGCAGCTTTTGTACACGTATGTGTAGAAGGAAGCTAGAATGTTTGTGACGGCGGTCAATCGCGGGGTTCAGAAAATCTCCCAGTCGGTCACTCCCGTTTAAAGAAGTCTTTTTTTGTTTTGGTTTGTGCTTTTGCACAATTATTAAACGCAACACAAAATCCTTAAATAATTGGCTTCGTGTGTATTTGTAGGTACTATTACAAGGTTATATATCTCTCTATAGAAAACTGTTTGTCCTGCCTGACTGACTGACTGACTGATGTATCAAGGCACAACCTGATCCGTCAGAGATAGAAATCTGAAACTTTAGATAACTGCCTCAAAATTGGACATTTTTCTAAATTTCAGAAAATTGTATGGTCTTTATAAACATTTCCAATTGGAAAAATTTGTTGGGGTTTTTTCTAAATTACGAGGGACGTAGTTTTGGGAGGTATGGAAAAACTAATTTTAAACCTTTTTACCATCCACTCTTATTGTCATCGACACTTTTATTATAAATATTTCGCTTTGGGCTTCAAGCTTTACAGCTCGGGACTAAAATGTGCGGAAAACGTTGATTCAAACTTTTGCCTCTTCATTTTCAAACGGATTTTAAAGTATCTAAGTAAAATATAACTTGAAACGTACATTACAATATAGTATGGGATTTTATTTTTGTACACTCTTGAGTTCTGATTGGCACTTGTTAAAATTAAAATTATATAACAATTTTAGGTTTTAATTTTCGACGTGGGGAATTGGGTGGAAAATGTATGTTTATGTATGTCGAATAATACCAGCTAGTATATGCATATATATATACTAGCGGGTTTTTCCCGGCCTTGTCCGTGGCAAGTTTTGTGCTTCAAATTTTAGATATAACTTTTTCGCTCATTTGGCGCCCGTAGACAATTTAAATCAATCTGTACCATCATGAACTCACCGTCTAAAGTTATATTTTCAAAGATATTTGAAAATAAGTTTAAGGTCGAATAAAGAACCAAAAGTTGGAATCAACGTTTTTTGCCTATGTTAGTCTTGTGGTGAGAATTTTAAAGCCAAAAAATAAACTTTCGTTCATTTAACCTTTTACCTGCGTTTTCCATCCAACAGCGGTGAACTTTGCGAAACTGAGGAAGCTTGGATTTGCGAAAAGTGTGAAACACGCCTTAAATGATTTTTCAAAAAGATTATCATAAATGAATTTGAACCCGAAACTTTACCCACCAAATCTATGACCCCCATTTTTCCCAAGGAGCGATGGGGGATTTTCCAAAAAGTGTGATACACTCCTCATAAAATTTGAACAAAGATCTCTGCAAATGATTTTGACGCCAATCGGATGGAAATCAAAATAGTTTCATACAACCGTTCTTCACTATTTTTTCACACGTGCACCTCCATCACAGGTGCAGTGAAAATTTCAGCTTCCCAGCTCGGCTTACGGCTTGATCACCAATCCGTCAGTCAGTCAGGACAAAAAGTTTTATATATTAAAAAAAGACATAGGTCACGAAAACACACATATACACGCACAGTGCGCTTGGTGCACAATTCATGTTACAGAGGAGCTTCCTTTTCTTCTAAACACCATGGGAAATGGTCCATTTCCATTCCAGTTTTTATGCCTTGAGCACATTAATAGGCGTTGATGATTTTGTTAAAATGTCTCTCAGTATTTCATTATCTTCTCTATATATAAAACTGTTTGTCCTGACTGACTGACTGACTGACTGATTGGTGATCAAAGCACAGCCCAAACCGTAAGAGCTAGGAAGCTGAAATTTTCACTGTAGCTACCTTATGTGATGTACATAGGTGCACGTTACGACGGGGTTTCGGGAAATTCCACCCGCAAGTGTGGCAAAATCGCGAAAAACGTTTGTATGTAACTTTTTTGTTTACCATCCGATCGGCCTCAAACTTATTTTCAAAGATCTTTGTTCAAATTCATTTGAGGGGTGTTTCACACTTTTCGAAAAATACGTTCCTCCTTGGTGGAAATGGTGGTCAAAGATTTGGTGGGTGACGTTTCGCGCTCAAATTCATTTACAGAGATCTATAAGAAAAATCATTTGATACGTGTTTCACACTTTTCGCAGAATCCAAACTTTTTCGGGTGGAATGCGACTCAAAGATTTTTCTTGCGAAGTTTTAAATTGTGTCCGATTTGCTTCAAACCTATTTTCAAAGCTCTACATAAGAATGTAATTAATACGTATTTCAGCGTTTTGGGAAATTCCACTCGCAACAGTGGTAAATTGGCGGTAAACGTTTGTATGAAAGTTATTTGTTTACCGTCCGATCAGTTTCAAAATCATTTCAAATTTTTTTGAGAACATTGATTTTATAACATACGTGCCACGGGCAAGGCCGGGTTATACCCGCTAGTGCTTTCAGCTTCCTAGCTCTTACGGTTTGGGCTGTGCTTTGATCACCAATCAGTCAGTCAGTCAGTCAGTCAGTCAGTCAGTCAGGACAAACAGTTTTATATACATATAGAGATAATGAAATACTGAGAGACATTTTCACAAAACCATAAACGCTTATCAATGTGTTCAAGGTATAAAAACTGGAAGGGAAATTTCATTTATGACAATACTTTGAGCTGATATTTAACTGGCAAAAGGGAATTCCTGCAATAGTCTATAAATAAAAGGCACATTTAATAATTTAGTTTTGTAATTTTTATTGTTTTTTATTTTTAAATTAATGTTCTTGTGTTTTTCATGTTTTTGTTGTTTTTTCTTTTTTGTTTTAATTTATTTTGTGGGTCTTTGTTTGAATTTGGTTAGGTTTTTGTGTTTAAATGTAAATTTTCATTCTGGTAAGCGAAACGCTGAAATTGTTGTTCATATATATTTTCATTGCTTATTATAATTTTTGCTCTTTAGTTTTGTGTAATTTTAGTGTTTGGGGAAGGGTATTTTTCCATTTGAAAACGTGTTTAATAATTATAAACTAAAGTGAGTTGTTTGTGTCATGCCTTAAGTGTGTGTGTGTGTGTATTTATTTTGTGAGTAGTTTTTTCTTTGTTAAATTTGTTGTGTGTGTTTCAAATATTATTTACTAATACGATTTGGAGATTTTTTAGCTTAGATTGTTCTCAATATTTTGTTAGCTCGAAAACAATATAAAACGACCTTCAAACCATTTCAAAAAGTACACAGAATGCAGCTGTGAGTAAATATTTCTTGCCCTAAATGTAAAACATAAAAATTTAAGGAATTCAGGAATACATACATATAATACATGCAAGTATAATTAGTATAGTACATATTTTCTTAAGCAAAGAGAAAACATTCGCTACTATTGGAGCCAGAGCTTGCGGAGGGGAAAAGAAGCATTTGGAATCGTCATACATGGGCAGGCTCTGGGACTTTACGTGCTAGTTAAATATTTGCAATTGCTTTGATCGCGTGGCAGGCAAAAAAGTTCTAATCAAGTCTCAAGGCATGACAGCCTTGAGCTGTACGCGTAGCGTAATATGAAATATACCTCGTGCTGCTGCCTTTTTTTTTGTTTTTTATGTTTTTGTTAATTCTTTTTCTTCTTTTTCTTATTGTTCTTGTGTGTCGGGTGATTAATTTTAAAATAATTTAGATATTCAATTGCAGCTAAATGTTGATTAATATTACAATTAATGCATAATAATCATCGTTTCATTTGAGATTCCTTTGTTTTCCGTGTTTACGTTATTTGTTTGTTTTTTCTTTTGTTTTGTTTTGTAAATTATTCTTTATTTTAATGGGTGGCGTCGCTCGCTAAAAGCGTGTTTTTTTTTACATATTATTTTCACTAAATTAAAAAACATATATATATATATATGTATGTGTATATATATATATATATATATATATATGCTTTTGTTTTAATCAAGTATTATGCTATGTTGTTTATAGTAGACGTTCTTGAGTTTCTCGTTTTATAATCGTATTAAAATGCTAGTGTTGGACTGAAGACTAATAGTTATATAAGGGCTTTGGTTTAATAGGACACTGGAACTTGGTTTCGGTTTTGGATTCGAAATTGGAGACGATTTTCAATTACGATTTGCGACGTGAGTCCGGTATAGAGAGCAATTTGTTTATATGTTTGTCTACATTCAAATATATGCTCATCACCTTAACACATATGTAATATAAATATATATATATATATATATATATGTATCTATATATATATACTAGCGGGTATAACCCTGCCTTGCCCGTGGCACGTATGTCATAAAATCAATGTAAAATCAACAAACTTAAAATTCACCAAAAAAATCTTTAAATCGCTTTCCCCCCGAAGAAGTTTGAATTCAACGAAAAGTGAAAAACACGTCTCAAATGAATTTTCATATAGATACTTGGAAATAAATTTGAGGGCGAAACGTCACCTACCAAATCTTTGACCTCCATTTCCACCCAGGAGGAACGGATTTTCCTAAAAGTGTGAAACACCCCTCAAATGAATTTGAACATAGATCTTTGAAAATGAGTTTGGGGCCGATCGGATGGTAAACAAAAAAGTTACATACAAACGTTTTTCGCGATTTTTCCACACTTGCGGGTGGAATTACCCGAAACCCCGTCTTAACGAGCACCTACATTACATAAGGTAACTACAGTGAAAATTTCAGCTTCCTAGCTCTTACGGTTTGGGCTGTGCGTTGATCACCAGTCAGTCAGTCAGTCAGTCAGGACAAACAGTTTTATATATAGAGATATATATCTATCTATATATAGATATATATATGTATTGCATATATATTTAAATATATATTTTTCATATGGGTTTAGGTGATGGGCATATATTTGTCATATGCTATTTGTAACTTCTATTTTATCATTTCGCATACATTGTCAAAATTATATAAATGGATGTTGTGGATTTGGGTTGATTTTTTTGTATTGTTTGTTGTTTGTTTTTATTCTTAAGTACAACAACAATAACAACAGATCAACATGTAGAGTTGTTTGTGTTGTTGTGGTTATATATAAATAACTTTTAATTGTATTTTAAATGGGACAAAAAATGTGGATTTATTTTACTAAGTTTTTGCTCATTTTTTTTGTTTTGCTTATTATTTATTACGTTTGCAAATTGCTTTTTATTCACTATAATGCGTTAGGTTTTTATTTTTGCTTTTCCCTTTTTCCTTTTTGATTAATAATGCATATTTGTTACATATGCAGTTAGGCATTTGCTTTGCTTTGTATTTTTTTTGTATTTTGTGGGGTTTATTATTTTGTTTTAGATTATGCTAAGATTTTGCGTTGCGCCCAATGTACAAGCAATCATACACACATATACAATACAAGCCCACACACACACACACACACATCGCTTATGCACGCTGCATATGCATGTGTGTGCAACAGACATGTATCTGCGATCCATGAGAGGAGAGCAGAGAAAAGCTTTTAACATAGGGAAAGCTTTCGGAAGAACACAACTGCATGCATAGATACAGAATTACATATGCATGCATGCATGTGTGTGTGTGTTGGGTGAAAATAAATTTAAGCGCTGTTTAAAACAAATATTTTATTTAACCCTTGCTATTCCTACATATGCGATTTGGGTGAACTTTTTTTTAGACTGGAATTTCTCTTCACTTGTTTTGCTCTTTCCGTGCTTCTTTCTGTATGTGTGAAGTTGTAAGTTGAATGTTGTTTTATTTACTTTAAGCCCCGTTGCATAAGAGGCGAGCACAAAAAAAATGTTAACAACAGTTCACTGTAAACAACATTTACATTAACATGGCGCCGCCGCTGTGCTAACCCGATGTGCCGGCTGACGTTGCCTCAGCTTCTGCTGCTGCTGCGTCGTTGTCGCCGCTGCCATTGCTGCTGCCACCACCACCACCCTCGTCACCTGCAGCGCTGCCCTCAGCCTCACCATTGCCGCTGGCGCTGCTGTTCAAGGCGCTGTTTGACTGCGAGCCTGTGAAGGTTGTTGCAAAAGAGATAGAGTAGACAGAAATGTTTCTTTGTGAATTGTTGTTCTTGCTGCTGCTGCTGCTCCTATCAGCAACTGCGAGTTGACAGAAAATAACACATTGAACAGGAAATGCTTATACGGAATTACGTTATGTGACAGAGAAAGAGATAGAGAGTGAAGAGCGAGCCAGAGTCAATATGTTCACAAGCATGCAAAATTGGGCGCCTGCACAGCATGGAGCAGACACAACGGGAAAAAAAACAATATGTCGCCGCTGCTGACAGCCGTCGCCGGCGCCGCCGCCCGCTCACTTTGCACACCCACTAGCAACAACAAAAACACAAAATTAACAA